CTGTAATATAGTGAAAATAAAGTAGAAATTGACTTTAATTTTTTATATTACTTGTTTTTCTACATAATCTCCTTGTAACTCTATACACTTCTCCCAGCGATGCTTCCATCTCTTCAACCCACCCAAATAATACCCGGCGTCTTTTTCTGCAAAATAATTGTCCTTGGAAACTTTGTTAGAAACATTTCAGACTACCATCGTATATTATATATATATATAATATACGATGGTAGTCTGAAAATATATATATATATATATATATATATATATATATATATATAAAGAACACAGGACATCAAACAAAAGCCAAATAATTAACAAGTTGTGAACTAGAAATACAACAGTTTTGCACGCAAAGAGCTACGACCGGTATTCGCTACACATAAATTGTTAACAAAGCCATCATAACATTTTCAAAGCCTGAATTGATTCCCATTCAGACATCTCAAAAAAGAAAAGAATAAAAGAAATTCTATTCTTCAAGATCCAAGTTGAGGAAATATAGTAAATTTTATATAGGATAGATATGTTACATCCATATATATAATTAAAATCCCACTTTCAAAATGCTGTAAAAAAATGAAACACTCTCTTTACAATGAGTTAAAATTTGAACTGAAGATATTTGAAGAAGGCGAAAACGGTACTGCATCAAAAAGAGTTCTAAAGTGTATTAATAGATGGCGCTGTAAGCGGCATAAAAAAAGGTGAATTCGGCTGCCAGTGATATTTTGAATCAAAATCACAAAGTATTTGGTGTGAGTTGGTCATTAAACCAACTGTAATGGTCAATGCGCTTGATTGCTTCAGTTTTTGACGGAAAAAATGGCTTCAAGTCATTCAACAGTTGTGTCACTGATAGTGAAAAGCCCAACCATCACGGCAAGGTCATACCAAATTGGATGGGAAAAATCGGTGGAACTTTTTTGATGCCATACCGTTTCCCATTCTCCAAGTATCTTCAGTTCAAACTCATTGTGACGAGTGGTACTTTTTTATAGCATTTTGAAAGTGGGACCTTAAATATAATCACCCGTATATATATATATATATATATATATATACTCAAGAGCCAAAACATTCTGACCACCTGTCAATAACGAGTTGGCCCACCTTTGGCGAGCAACACAGCTTAAATCTGCCTTGGCATGGATTAATACCACCACTAAAAACCAGTTAAATACCACTTCCACCTGATCACGTGCCTTCCACGTCATCCAAGCGAGTTCATTGCAAAATGTAGAGGTGGTCATAATGTTTTGGCTCTTGAGTGTATATATATGTGTGTGTGTGTGTGTGTGTGTGTGTGTGTGTGTGTGTGTGTGTGTGTGTGTGTGTGTGTGTGTGTGTGTGTGTGTGTGTGTGTGTGTGTGTGTGTGTGTGTGTCTATAAAGAATATAATAAGAGATTATAATGATATGTAATATGATAATTATAATGAATATAAGACATGAACAGAAATGACAGACATTGAAATATTCGTTATTTATAAGGTATAACTGAAAGCAATGAAAAAGTGGAAAAATAGTTTGAGAGACAGCAACTGAAAATTATACAAAACTAAAGTGTGATTAGGATATTAACAGATGCTATGCAAATCAAACTTTACATAACTTAAACGCAAAACCAAAGGAGATCTGATAAACAGTTAATTATAAACACGAACCTTTTGTACTAGCTAAAAATATATTACAAAATCATCATTTCTTAATCAACACTTTTTTAAAAAAATTGTCTGATTTTTTATTTTTATGCAAATGAAAATGCTATAGTGCAGAGAAAAATACGTCACAAAAGTAATCATACACCTAAACATTTTGGGTACAAATTCATAAATAAAATTAAGATTTGTCTTTTTTTCTCCAATTCCTTCTATTACCTCACACTCTCCCTATATATAACTTGTTCAAATTTTCAATCGTTAATAAAATACTTTTTATTCGTCCACTCAAGTTCAAATACATTTTTTTTTAACTTGCAGTGGATGACACTTGATGTTAATGCATTTTTTTCAAATATTAATTCATTCATCAAAATTTAATTAATTAATTTTAGGTTTTTTTAGATTTAAGTTGCATGTATCTACCAATAGATGGCGCCAGATAAACTTAAAAAAATGAAGGAAAATTATTTATAAAGGACTTTCTGCAATATGGAGAAAAAAAGTAGGAAATGACTTAAAAAAATTTTTTTTATATTACTTGTTTTAAATCTTTGTTTACTTTATTATGTTTTATGTATTACTTTAAAATGGCTCATTCGCTATAGGAAACAAAGTACAGCATTCGAAGTTATTTATTATTTAATATCGCTAATTTAATTAATTCATCCCAGTGTGTAACATAATGTTTTAAGGAGGAAAAGCGAATAAAAAAAAGGGTAAGAAAAGGATGTTTGGCAAAATTAATTGAATCTGACCAGATTTATTATTATAAAAATTGTGAAAAATTCGTTGATTGCTTAAAAATTTCTACAGAATTTACTGAAATATTTTCTACTTCCTGTTCATCTGAAATTCATCGACAAATGCTCTGAATAAATTTACATGGGTGTTCTGCTCGAAGAAATTTTTTGTTATTACAAAAATAGAATTCCCATTATTATAAATTATAAATAAATACAAAACGTACTGGAATCATGTCTTACTATTGGTCCAAAAAGTAAGACCAATTTTCTGTTTAAAACTCCCGAGGCTTATGGAATTTCAATTTATTTTTTTAGGTTGCTGGCACATTCCTTGACATCTGTGTTAAATTTGACGTCAAAATATTCATTAGTGTTTGAGTTACACTTGGCATTGTGAGACGTTAAAACTGATTCCAGCGATTCTTGAAATGTCTGAACTAATTGAGCAAAGAACTTGGATTAAATTTTGTTTGCGGAAAAGTATAGAATGTTGCAGAAGGCATTCGGTGAGCATTCCTATATCGGAAAGACATGTTTAGAAGGGGTATAAACAGTTCAAAGAAGGCGGAGAATGCGTTACAAAGCCCTCTGGTCGACCATCCATCTCAACCGACGAAGCTCGCGTCCAAAAATTAAAGATTTGGTTCATGCAAACCGGCGATTTATAATTGCATACTTTTATACTGAGGTTGGAATTTCAAAAGATGAATTTGAAAAGGAAAAGGGGAATTCCATCGTGGGCCTCAAACGCGTCAAATCTCGATTGGTACCGAAAATATTCAATGCGCCAGGACCCACTGCTTTGATTCTTCGTGACTTTTTCGCCAGAAATGAAACCCATATCTTTCCACAACCATCATATATTCAAACCGCGCGACTCCAGGCTATTCCCCTAAACTCAAAAGACCTCTCCAGGGACACCGTTTTGAGTGGACTCAAGAGATTCAACGCGCGCATTGAAGGCCATTCCTGCCGATGACTTTTAGCATGCATTGAGGATTAGAAAAAATTTGCATAAGTGCATTGTGTCCGGAGGGGATTACTTTAAAGATAATGAAATAAATTTGGAAGAATAAATAAAGAGTTTTTTTAAAAATTGGTCTTATGAAAGCAAAATTGAAATTTTGTTTTGTTTTGTTGGGCCTTTAATTGTATGGAGAAGAAAAAAAGGAGAAATCAAACTCATGGCTCAAGAACAAGTATTGTAGGTTTATTAAGAAGAAGTTATAGATATTATTTAAGCATTTTCATTCTGAAATATTAATTTTTATTATTGGATAGAGCAGTATTTCATTGAAACTCGTACAAGTACTTTTGCAAGCTACTGCATTTATTAGCTTAAAGCTAATTTGAAGAGAACATAAGGAAGTTCATGAATAATTTTTGTATTTGATATAAAATTATTTATAAAAATTAATCTTCGTCTATTTTATATAAAAATTAATTTTTGATTGATAGAAATAATTCGTTACAAAACATTTCCAAAACCATATATATATAAATATATATATATATATATATATATATATATATGGTAAAAATGTTCTAAAATTTCTTTCTGTAAAAAGCATTACAACAATTACCATATAAATAGTATATGTGGAGCAATTATTGCAATGTTTTTTACAGGAAATCATTTTGCAAAATCTGCAATTTTAAAGCAGTTTGTTTTAATTCTGCATATAAGGATTATAAATATTTGTTTATGTTTGTTATTTCTCTAACGCAGCTGTGAAAAATTCTTTTCAAATAAATTTCTTCCCTTTAGAATTATGCTTACTTTTAATTCAAAAACCTTTTTTAAGATTATAATTTTGTAATAATAATAATAATAATAATTTAATTATAATTTATAGTTTAATTTATATAGTTTAATAATTATAATTTAATAATAATTTGTTTAGTTCAGTTAAAAGATAAAAATGTCTCATTTTTTAATAATTTTGTATAAGCAGCTAAAAGTATGAATTTTAAACAATGAACTTCATTATCTTGTTTCCTTAACAGAAGTGCTGAGCAACAAATTTCAAATTAAACATTAAGCATTACAAAAAATAAAATATTCTATATTTTATAATGTTAGGAACTTCATAACAAACATACGATTATCCATTTGTTATATAACCTATTTTTTTTAAATATATACCTATAGTCTGTTTTCTTTCTTCATTATTATTTAAGAAAAATTAGGAACCCTTTTACTTTTTTTTTTAAATTATTTTCTCCCCTTATATTTCCATTGAATTAAAAAGTAAATTAATTACTGTAATGTACTAGAAATGAATTTTAATTTAGCATAATCTGGAGTTTCTTTGCAGATAAAAATTGGACCTATGTAACTTATAAACCGATGTATAGATAGAGTAGTGGCAACTGGCAACTGGCAACTGTCGTACCGATTACGGAGTACCAACAGGGGGAAATACCCCTTAAACCTCATCTTAGTTCATAATTCAAATAATTTAACCCGACCAACCCGAAGGTACACGGTAAACTGATAGACCAGAAGCACGACAGCACCCACTCAGGGCTACCTGGATACCGCCTTATCCGGCTCCACGGATAGGGTGATATGAAATAAGTACAACACCCCCTCACCGAAGTCAAGCATGATTGGGAGCGGGCAGTACTTGGGTGGGTGAACACCTGGGAACACCGCGTGCCGTTGGCATTCACAAATTTGTGACCTGAATGGCCGAGTGTCTAGCGCTCTGGCGCTCGGTGCCACAGGTTTCGGATTCGAATCCCGGCGGTGCCATGGATGTTTGTAGTGGTTCGGAATCCACTTTAAGCCGTAGGTCCTTGTCTCCTATGACTGTAAAAGCGTCACGGAGCCAAAGTCAGACTTCTTACTACGGGTGCTCCATCACAACAGAAGCTGCTTCCTTCCCCTTCAATCATGAGTACGTATGGTCTCGTGGGCTTGGCCAGCCAAGTGGGATAAGAAACAACAACAACACCCCCACCGCTTATGGCTGCTTGTAGACTCTTACACCAGTGGTGTTATAACTGTGGCCCAATATAATAACAAGATTTGTAAATTTGTTTCAAAACTGGAATATTTCTGTACTTATTTCACTTATTTTTTTAAAAATTCTTATTAAATAAAAATAAATTTTATTTTATTTAAGAACAATTGTATAAAATGCATTTCTATTTATATATTTTAATTCTTTTAGCATAATCTATTTTAAAGTTTTATAATTTCTGTGAATAATTTTTTATCTGCTGAAAGATTTCATTATATCATATTCAAATAATAAAACACTATTATTTTACTATAGTTTTATTTTTATATCATAGTGGTTTACTAATCAATGAACTTTGTGTCATCAACCATCATTAAATTAGAATATTTTATGCACAGCAGAAAACATCTCCTTTCATTTATATGCAGCCCAAAGAACTTAAAATGTTAGATGCAGCTCAACTACATTTGTTTTTAAGATTGCTGTTTGAAATTGTTCTTAAAAGTGTTCTTAAATTGTATTTAAAATGAATGTGAGAAAAAACTTTTGATATAATCATTTTTCAAATAGTTAAGATGAGGCCTTTTCATAATTGTATAGTGCATTTACATTGTTTTAATATGTTAAAGTCACAGTAACAATGTTATTGATGCATCCAGAGAAAAGACAATGAAAATAGCTGATTCGCCATGACTATTTAGAAAGCAGTCTACACAGCATTGATTCTTTAATATAAATTATGAGTGACCTTATGCAGTTAAAACATTAAGAATATTTATGCTTATGTCTTTGGGATCTTAAATTATTTTTTAAAAAGTATTATAGACTTATCCAGCGTATGGCCTAACAGTTTAATTTTTTCAAATTTTTTATTACGAATGGAATTATTATCTTTCAATAAATTTATTCGTAATATTTAAATACATGAATTGAAAACCCCAAATCACTAAAATTTAGTTTTAAAACTTAATTTTCGTGTAGATATTTACTCTAGTTGATTCTAATTTCAGTTGATTGTAATTTTTATTATTATAGCCAAATTTTCTTTACATATTTTTTAAAAAAGGAACATGATTTTTATACAACTTTGTAAGGACAATTATATTTCATACCATGAAATTTCAGGACATTTCAAAATAAAAAAATCTTGCATAATTATCTTATTATTATTTTTTAATATTTATATAAAAGCGAGTTGTAAATGTAAAATTGAGTTGATATTTTCGTCGATAAAGTCGTTTTTACCGATAGTTTCTTTTTTAAATGTTGATTATTTTAATCAAAAATGTATATTTTTTTTTTTTTATATTTATAACGAATCAATTATTATTTTAATAATCATATTAAAACAAAGTCATCCAATTTTTAATTTAAGCTAAAAGTTTAAGTTGATTCAAATGCAAAAAAGAATAATAAAATTTTATCAATATTATTAATGTGGCCCATTTTCAAAAATTGGTTCATATATAATACATCAATATGATTTTAACAATATGATTTCAAATATTAATCTTTTTTTGTTATATATTTTTTATGAAATTTCCTACATATAAAGATATTGAAAATTCATTTCAAATTCAATCTGTAGCTTTGTTTTCCTTCTTTGTTATATATATATATATAGATAGTCCCCACCAGAATTAAAGTTTCAATTTTTCAGTTTAAATTTAAAATTTCAGAATTAAAAGAATTGCAATTTAAAAAAATACGTTTGAAGTTTTAATTAAAATTAAAAACTATTCTGATATTTTTTTGTTTAATTTACGTTTAAATATCATTCTGCCAATATAATATAATTTAACAATGTAGCAAACCAAATCGTATGATATTAATTGTAACTGTGGAGAACTGCTGGCGCCACCTATGAAATCAGAGATAAAAAATTTAAGAAAAACTTTGTAATACAACACCTAATCATAATTTTTCTGAAATATCTTTTGTCTCTGTAAATGTCTATCCTATGTTTGTTTCGTGCCCGCGTATTATCTCTGTGAATGCTTCTGAACTCGTGTTATCAAATAAAATGTTTAAAAACATGTATGCCTACTTATTGAAGTGATATCATTCATGCACTTTAATCTAATTTAACAATGTAACAAACCAAATCATGATATTAATTGTAACTGTGGTTGACTGCTGGCGCTACCTATGGAATCAGAAATGAAAAAAAAATTAAAAAAAAAACACTATGTAATAAATTGACAACCACTCATAATGTTCCTGAAATATGTTTAGCTATGTAAATGTCTGTCATATGTTTGTTTTGTGTGTGGTTTGTGAATGCTTGTATTGTCTCTGTTAATGGTCGTAAACCAATGTTTAAAACCATGGGCATCACTTTATTGAAGTTATATCATCCTATATATTTGAAAAGTTCATGACACAACAATACCAATTATCCAGTGTGTTCAAATCATCTTGGATTGCATCAGTAAAGAGCCAAAAAAAAAAAAAAAAAAAAAAAGAGCATTTATTAATTTTTTTAAGAGGTTACATTACATTACTTTAGAACAAATTTGCATACATAAATATTACAACAATAAATATTGTAAATATTAAAATTTCTAGCTATAGTGGAAATTGTTGAATTTAAGAATATAGAAAATTCAAAAATATTTTTCCCAAAATTGTTTTTTTAGTTTTTATGAGTTTCTTTTTTTTTATTTAAAAGAAATGTTGTTATTATAACTATTTTATAATTTTGTTTTATTTAAAGTTTATTCACATCAAAATTTCATGTTTTGAATTTAGCATGAATTTGTACATAAGATCATTCAATATCACTAATTTAAATATATGAGTAAATAACACATTTTTACTTTAGTTATGTCAAAAAATTAATACTTTGTTCTTTTAATTTTTAATTTTCCTTTCAACATATGATATTTTTTAAAGTATTTATTTGTACACTATTTTATTATAAATGTGGGTTTTACATATTTTTAATATATTGAACACTTATAAAATAATATCTTTAGTGGATATAAAAACTATACATTTCAAATTAATAGATCAAAAATAAAACTTACTTCTTTTTTGGAAACATCAATTTATATATATATACATACATTTTCATCCTTTTATTTTTTTTTTTCAATTCCTACTATTAGCTCAGACTCTCCTATATATATCTTGTTCAAATTTTCAATCGTTCATAAAATACATTTTTATTCATCCACTAAAGTTCAAATACATTTTTAAACTTGTAGTGGATGACACTGATGCTAATACAGTTTTTTTAATATTAATTCATTAATTAAATTTAATTAATTATTTTTAGTTTTTTTTTAGATTTAAGTTATATGTATCTACCAATAGATGGAGCCAGATGTAAGTGGAAAATTTAAACTTTATATGGATAGTGAAAAAAAAAAAAAAAGTAGGAATTGTCTTTAAAAAAAAAAAATTTTTTTATATTACTTGTTTCTGTTTACTTTTACCGATTACGTAGATAAAGGTGATGGTAAGAGTAAATGTTTAAAAAAAAAATAACATCAACAAAACTATAAAATTATTATTAAGAAAATGAATCTAATGATGATATGCTTCATACCATTAGAGGGTAAAACAAAATTAGTTTATTATCTACAAATATATATATTTAATGGAACTATTAACATGATGATAGAATCACCGATATTCCTGAAGATAGATGATATTTGAATCACAAATATTTCTGAAGATAGTTGATAGATGAATCACAGATATTCCTGAAGATAGATGATAGATGAATCACAGATATTCCTGAAGATAGATGATAGATGAATCACATATATTTCTGAAGATAGATGATAGATGAACCCCAGATATTTCGGAAGATGAATCGCAGATATTCCGTATTCATAGATGATGTTTAAACATAAATTTAAAAAAAAGAAAATCAAAATAGACTGTAATTTTTTAAATTATGATTTTCAGTTTTGATTCCAAATATTCTACCCATCACAAAATATGGTCTACCACGAAATACTCCTAACCCCTTCTGCTCATTAGCTCTCATTTATTAACAGTACTTTGTGATAATTGTACGACAGAAACAATACGACAACTGCGATGTGAGAGCATAGCATCTTTTTAATATTGTTACCGAAATCACATGATTGTTGCAAACTGACGTTTTCTGGTAATTCTTACCCTGTCTCCACTCTCAAAAATTATGAACTCAAATTTTGATGTCTGATAAACTAGAACACCTTGTATAGTGTTTGATCATATGATCCTCACACAAGAAGTTCTTCAGCTTTTTTTTGCAAAATAGGATAATGTTATTTTGTTATACAAATCGTAACTTACTTTTGGAAAATGTTCTAAATAAAATCTCATGTCATTCCATACATGTCTGAGTTTCTTTCATTCTATGTAATATTTTGAAAAGACGTTTTTTAAATAACAATTATTAATCATTCGCTTAAACTAATGAAATTCTTTTCACAAAGTTTCAAATACCATTTAAATTGCAATTTTTATCAAATAATATTTTTTTATCGTGAAATATCACAATTAAAGAAATCAGAAATATGTATAAAAAATAAATATCAAAGAAATGCTTTGTTGCTGTTTAGAGAAGATTACAAAGAATTAAGTTTAGTGTGAAGTTTAAGAGACACATAACTTTGCAAATTGATTGTGCTATAACATCTTGTTCTTCATTTCATTGAGATCAGATATGATACATATTTCTTCTCATATATCTTATGTG